AACAAATATGTGAATACTAGTATTTGGGCATTTTAGAAATATTTTCTTGAATCTATCTTTGAGATTTTCAGATGGCAAAGAAAACCAGAAGGATAATGATTCTTAAAAAGTGACTATTTTAAGCACAATCTCTTTTTGGACATTCTGGCATTTGATTAAATGAGGCAATATTTTAAAGCATATAGTCTTTATATCTTGACATTTGAAAATAGCATTACCCGAGTCCTCATACACATTCTCATTTCTTAGAACTGACTGTAGGATTTTTAAAATTTTGCAGCTTAGGTAACATAATAGAACTTTTTTATAACTAGTCATCAGCTGCAGAGAAGAATTTATCTGTTTTGTCAGAGATTTTATCAAGAATTATGTTGACATAAAGAGACATTTTGCTATTGCAAATTTGCTATGTAGATTTCCTCTGGGTATACTGTAGACAAACAGGTGTCTATATTAACTAGTTAAGGTTCCTATCAAGATATTTTTCAATATATTAAATAGACTTAATCTTTGTATTTTGTCATTCTCTATATGAATCGGTCTGAGCTATGGGATTTCGACTGTATTCTGATAGTTTTGCTTTAGTTTACATATTGACAGACAATTGTACACGAAGGCTAGAGTGTTTGAGTTTAATTGTTAACGCTTTCTTAGTGTATATAGTCTTAAATGGTGCTTAAAGTTCAATGGTGTTATGATTTATGGTGCTTAAAGTTTTAATGGTGTTTTGATTTCTGTTGTTTATAATTGTTTATGGTAAATTTACAGGAGGATTTTTGTGCTTTAGATTTGTTAAAATGAGGTTTATATATGGTGTACAGCAGCATTTTGCAAACAGAACTTGACAAAATTTAATGTGGGTTTTTGCCATCTTATGCCGAGTTACGAAGTTGGCAAACTTTTACTGTAACAACTTGGTAAATATTTTAATTATAAGCACAACCAGTTGATAACTCTATTGTGAATGGTAATGCAAAGTGAAAGTCAAAGGAATAACATTAACTGTATTATTCTGTAAAACGAAAATGAAAGCCAAAATTTAACAAATTGCATTGTTTGAAACATTGCCACTATTCAACTGTTTTGTCTTCCTTTTCGTTAAAAGCAGTGCTTTATTTAAAATGCAATAAAATGAATAAAAAATTATGAGAATGATAATTTAATATAATGTGTGGGCTGCAAGTCTGGTTCAATTCACATGTGGTAATACACTAGTTTCCTCATCTAATTGTTAATTATTTCATCATTGAAGTTAATTATTAATTAATATCCTGAAACTGGGATTTACAAGTGCTCTAATGAAGATTTTTATGATGATTTGTTACACTAACTGATAGAAAATAGGAGGTAAAACAATAGTTTTCATGCAGTTGTTTTATCATTATAATACAAGTGTTTGAACAGTATAAAGCTACTTGTAAATTGATAGATATAAATACAGTCGACACCCGTTATCTCGAAGTCATCGGGACCGTCCAAAAAATATCGAGATAACGAAATGTCGAGATAATACTGCTGTTTGAAGTTTTTTTCGATGTTTTAAAACAATATTGCAATGATTTTGTTTCTATACTAAACACTTTTTTTATTTACATTTAAAGTCACAATGAATTAAATACAATGTTAGTATATTTTATAAAAAGTGGAAGATTCACTCATTTTGGACATAAATCAATCGATAATTAGGTAAACTTTTATAAACAAAGCTCGACTTGTTACAAACATAGTCATCATTATGACACATGCTATTAAGTGATTATCGTCTGGTTTGTGTTTTTCGCACCTCTGCGGGGAAGAGACAAAAATTATTAGTCGAGATAAAGAGAGGATAATAGCGTGAAAATTATTGTAGGGGCTGAAATTTTACTTCGAGATAATGAAAATATCCAAATAACAATATCGAGATAAACAAATATTTCCAATATAGATAAAGAAAGAAGAAAATCGGGACTTTCAAAATTTCATCGATATAACGAAATATCGAGAAAAGCGAGATAACGATAGTTGACTGTATAGGATATTTTTTATTGACATAGACTTGAAATAGTTTTTTTCTGCAAGGGTTTCTATAAACTTTCAGTTTTTATTATGGTTTTCATTTCCTTCCAAATTTTGATTTAATTTTATTCAATAATTTTCCATGAAATTACAACTTCTTTCATAATGTTAAAATGCTGTGCAACTCATCTGGCATCCCCCATGCCAGATGACATTTCCAGCATGGGTAAAACTACCAGAAATGCAAGTCTGATTATATGCAAGAATAACTTCTGTTTCATTTTAATATGAAACAAGCAAAAAGTCAGAATGACTTACACAAAGGTCAAGAACATTTAAACTCTGTGATTTGTCTAGTAAGCCTGATGATCTACTTGACAAATCAAAGGAATTCCATTGATAGAAACAATGTAGAATAAATTGTACTCCACTGGAATCATAATCTTTGATTTGTGTTATCATTTTGTCTGCATGTAGAATTATTTCATTCAGAGAAACTGTAATCTAGAACTCACTTATAGTAAACCCTGTATCAGCTGGAGACAGGTGTAATGTGAAATATAAATTATAGAATTATTTATTCAATATCTAGATGTTATCTGGCCACTACATAGATTTATCATTAAATAACAACTTATCAAGTAGCTTATCCAACCGATTAAACAAATACTTTGTGCCAGGAAATATCTCTGCTTGATTTTGCTTAGATGATAATAATGCAAGTGAAAGAAATTTTGGGATTTTTTTTTAATATAGTTGCTTCACAAAAATATTATCATAAAAGACAAATTACAAGATCAAAGCTTTCTTATGAATGAGGGGATGTTATAGAATGAAATTATTATGTTATTGTAATCAAATGAGACGTGTTTGAATTTAAGACATTTCCTAGAATTCTTATGTATGAGAATACATTTATTGTGCTATTAAATGTTATCATGGGAGTGTCAAAGATGGTTTATGCAAAATTATCAGTTTGTATAGACTTTTTAGCTCTTAAACAGTATAAGTCATTGAAAAACAGTCTTGTCAATCAAATGAGCAAATGGCATCCATAGCCAAGTGATAAAGGTTGTTGACCTTGAACTGCTTTTCCCACACTGCTGTGAAGTGGGAATTTGGATTTTTTTCTTGTGAGGAAGCTCAAATAGTTGAGCTTAAGAGCTTTGAGTGCCCCAGCTGATCTAAAAAAGAAATTCAAATTTTATGTTTTTATGTTTTGTACCTCAGTGGAGTTCCTTTACATGCTTTTGCAATGACCATTTTAAATGCAAATTCAGCAAGAGAGCGCTTACATATAAATTCTCTTGTGCTTTCTGTTGTGAAATTAACTCTAAAATTAAGATTATTATCTGAAATTCTGTGCCATAGCACAAGAAAGAAGATCAATGTGACAACTAAATTATTGAAATGAAAAAGCCACTAAATGCTCAAATATCACTTTCATAGAAGTTGAAACAATGCAAAAATAAGCAAATAAGAAGCTAAATATATTCATGCTGGTTAATAATTGTATCAAATTATAGACTGTGACTGTAGTGCCAAGAATCTTTTACCTGATTCTATGCTCTTGTGGCTGATTTTGTGCTCTTGTGGCTGGTTTTATTTAAGACAATTTGAAACATGAGTACCAGTCTAATGAGACTGTCTGAAATTTTACTAGAAATTATAGACATCCAGCATCCTAGACAAGTCAATGTATTCTGTGATAGATGTATTGGTATTTTAGACAGCTTGTTATTTTAGTCAATAGATTATTAACTCACTGGTATTTAAGACAACTTTATCAGTCAATCAGTTCTGTTGGATAGAGTGTGAGACATGCAATCTTGACATTGTGGCTGGCCAACTAAAATTACTAACTAGTCTTTCAAATTAGACTTAAAATTGAGGTACCATGCATGACTGCTTAAACACTTGAAGAACCAGGAGAAGCTTCTTGAATTTGGGCATCTTTCTGTATTTTGCACTATCCTCTATAAATCTGAAATGACTTGACATGGCCATAATTTACAATCCACTGCAAGTATAAATAACTCAAATACACACAATAGATTTATGCATTGGTTCTTTAAAATGACTTCTAATGATTTATAACTGATGTTTTTAGTAATTTATGTATTAGTATTTTAAGGAGTCATTAATATTGTCAATATAATATATTATTGGTACTCATGGAAGCTTAATATTCCTTAATATATTATTACAATAAATATATTTATATATTGGTGTTTAATATAGAGATATTGAATTATGTTGATGTGTGTTCAATTATGTTCTTTACAAGATGTATGTATTCAGGTTATCTATGAGAGCTTATATTCAGCAGTTGTTTGTATTTGTATGTGAGTGAGCTTGATTATTAATTGTTATTAATGTAATCAGCTTACATTGAGACTTAATAAAGAGTGCCTTGCTTTTCATTAATGTGTTTTTCAAGATATGTAATCTGAGAGCCAGTTATTTATATATTGGTTATTTAAGAGATACTTCTGGTTCTTCAATAAAAGGTTTATTATTTGGTATATATTTAGCTTGCTATTCATCATTCATAAGAACAAATTCATTAATAGTTTTATTTAATGGTGTTCAAGGGAGATAATATTTTATCATCGGTATACCAGACAGATGTTGTAATTGTTTTGTAATCTATTGATAACGGTTTATAAAGTTTTGTCTAGTTTTAAAGATTTATTGCATCAAATGGAGTACATTTATCTTGTAATTTAGAAAATTGGTTGACATATTGGTATTTAAAGAAGTTAGTGTTTATGAGTATGTCTTACGACTAGGTCATAATTTATTCTTCAAATTGATAAATAATTTGTCACTCAATACAAGGCTTATAAGCAATCTTATAATGGGATTATTTTTAAGAATGGATGAAATAATAAAACATAAAAATAATAAATAAAAAATATAAAAATTTCAATAAAACTGATTATAAAAAAGTGTCAAAGAACTTTTATTTGTTTATAATTCTATGTCTTATATATTTTCAGACAGAACAATGAGAAATGTCGACTAGAGAGGTTCTCAATGTGTCCGTTACATGAAGAACGTGCTCTTGACCGTTACACCTGATTATGGGACATGGTAGTACTGCGGAGAGCCACGCCCATCTCCATTGTCTCGTGTTGTTCTTGTTCTTCTTACTGTCTGCCATTATCTCAGGGACCAATGCCATTAGATATGTCTGGAAGACAGGTAAGTTCTTAACGTTGGGGTTGTTTTGTTTTTTTATGCTCCCCAAAGGGAAAGCATATAGTTGCCATCTTGTCTGTCCGTACGGAGCATAACCTTAAAACATTGGACATAATTTGTTTAAACTGCACATAGTGGTAGCGGGCAATGAAGCGGAGTGCAGTGCCAAAGAACCATTACTCTGTTTTGCCGGGGTTTTGGAATTATCTCTCTTATTAGAAAAATCTTGTTTAGGACAATAGCTCTAAAACTATAAGAGATATTAACATAAACATTTGTCGGTAGATAGATCTCATTAAAAAGAAGTGCATTGCAAAAGAGCAGTAACTCAGCCTTGCCTATTTTTGGCGTTATTGCCCTTTTTCAATTTTACACTGAACTTTGTCCGAGATATTACTGTGAAACTACAAGAGGTATCAACAAGAAACTAAGTTGGTAGATAGATCTAATTGAGTAGAAGTGCAGAGCAAAGAAAACTAACTCTGCCTTGCCTTCTCTTGGAATTATTGCACTTTGAACTTTGTCTGGGACACAACTGAAACTGCAAGAGGTGTACTTTTCTGAGTTCAAAACCTATTATCACCTGGTTCAAACCGGAGCTTTAACTTTTTTGCTGCTTTTTTAAGCAAGACTGCCCGCTGTTATGAACATATTTTGAAAATTCTTTACATTATTACAGGTCCTGGCAGTCATTTTAGTAATGTAAAGATTTGCTGTACAATATTAAAAAGAAAATGTAATGTCTAAGAAATCAAGAAACTAAATTACTAGTTACGTTAAGTTTCTAGATAATGTTAAAAAATTGGCCTTACTGAAACTTGGTAATGTCTGTGCAAACTTGTGTTGCCCCAGACATGTGTACTTTCTACCACACAAGTAGAAATATTACTTAATTGTTTTTACCATATACTTTTCTTATTAGTTATCATAGGTTTGTTTCTAGAAATGTACAATTACTTGATCAAATGTTGCTTATAATTTAAGTGAATTTCAGATTATGTATTCAGAATAAATGGAGCTATTGATAAATAGATGTTTTTTGGCAAATATAAAACTCATGTTTTTTTGCCTCAAGATTGGAAAAACATTACTAATGTAGAGTTCAAGATACCCAAAGTATACCCTGCAACAATAAAACAGTTTTTGCTCATTTAAGTTTGTCTGTTTTAGTGTTAAAGTACTATCAAGCTTTTGTTTATAAACAAAAAGCTTGATAGTACTTTTACACTAAAACAGACAAACTTAAATGAGCTTGTCTGTTTTAGTGTTAAAGTACTATCAAGCTTTTGTTTATAAACAAAAAGCTTGATAGTACTTTAACACTAAAACAGACAAACTTAAATGAGCAAAAACTGTTTTATTGTTGCAGGGTATACTTTGGGTGTCTTGAACTCTACATTAGTTCAGTAACAATCATTATAATATTTCTAGACAAATTTCAGAAACAGACAAACCTTGGGAACAATGAAATATTTGTGGTTATGGCATTTCTACAAATTGATTTATTTAACATTAATTTTGATATGTTGACCATTAGTTTTGATCTATTGAACATAATTCAATTAAATGTTTGAAGATATTCATTTTCTCCCTCACATTTTTACAGATTAAACTGACAGGAACAAGCACTGTCTCAATAAGCTGTTATCTTTTATTGGCTATAAAATGGCAGAAAAGTTTTTTCATAAAAGGAAAATTGTAGTGGAGGGTATCCCCATTGTGCATTGAAATTTTCCTCCCTTATGGGTCGAAAATACGGAGTTGTTGGTTTTAGTAATACTTTCACAGCCAGTGGGTCAAGGGTATGATGCGTTGAGAAAAAACCCAACAACATGCTACAAGACTCCTGTCATTTCCCCAAGACAGTTCAGTTGACTTGTATTTTATTTTGTTTTCTCTCAATTTATGAACATCCAGGAAAGAATAAAATATATGGTAAAGTGCTTTCTTGTTTGTTGCAGAGGTGATAATTGTGTTAAAGTCCGTTGTTGAGTTTAGGGAACATATTTACAAGGAAATGCTAGAGAGTGCCATATATAAATTAGAATTAGGATAATGTATTGCTGGAACCAATAGGAAATCCATTAATTTCATACATAGTTTTTGGAAATTGAACATAAACAGGAATCTTTTAAACACCACCAAAATTATGATAACCTCAAGATGACCTTTCGGAAAGGATTTTACTTAAAAAGTATATTTTAAAGGCCTTAAAAATGAACGAACTACTGTTATGAAATTGATTTACCATACATTTTAAATGAGTGTTCATTTTCCAAATTTTTAAAATGATTTCCACCCTGAAATTTAGCAATTTAAAAGGCATGGTTATGTATTACAACTATGTTTATTTACTGATGTTGCATCGAGTAGCTTTACTTTTATGTAGTATATTATGAAATTTACACTAATTATGTTGAAAATAGACATGTTAACATAAAACAACCAAACTAAAGAGCTATCATTTACTGAAAGCAATAGATTTATCATGAAATTTTCCTGAAATTTGTTATACTTAAATAAAAGAGACATGATGCTGGGACTCTTATTGATGGGATAAATTATACATACTTTGGTTACCATTAATCTTCATACTCACCTGAAATTAATCATTTATTATCTATACTGTTATTATTATATTGTGTAAAGGCAGAATGTTAAGAGTGCTTTGTTCTTTTTGAAGGCATCATAAGACAATATCTTAATTTCATAATATACATAACACTATAAATATGGATTCCTCAATTCTATTAAGTGTATAAGTGTTAATTAGAGAATAATATTAGTAATTGTCCTTTGGTATTGCAATATTGTAATGTAAACAATGTTTGTATAATAATTTTGATGAGAATTATGCATCGATTGATAGTTAGTCAGAGTACTTTACTGAAGGCTTCAAATGAGTCTTCACATTTCTGTGGTGCTGCAGCAAATGATAATGTCTTTAAATAAATAACCTATGTGTCCAAAAAACAAACTTTATTCTCTAGAAGCACATATTATTTAAAATAACTTGTACTATTTAAGCTTGGTTTAATTTTTTACAGAGATCAATTATATTTTAAAGCTCCCCAATTGGTTTTAATGTTATTATTTATTATCTGTGAATATAAATGTTTTTATGAAAGAATATTTCAATGCCATTGTGATATATTTTCTACTTTATAGGTAAAGAAGCACAAATAAAAAAGATATTGCCAATGTCATAAAAGAGATCCACTTAGGTCAAAAAAGCATATTACAGTAAAAACATAAATTTTGAATTTGTTGCATATATTTTTATAATAAAAGTTGCCCTTTAAATGAAAAAGTCTGCAAAAGATAATAAAAAATAAACACAGAATATAATTGAAAATCAAATTCTATCAAGATATTTAACTCTTTTTAGTGAATTTGTTGTAATGCTTTTCATTTCATTTTTGATCATTTTCTGCACAATAAAAATCATTATTCCCGGAAACCAGAAAAAAAACTCCAATCCCTTTATGTAAAAAAACAAACTCACTGGAGTCCCTTTAATAACTCTTTATCCTGTTACGTGTCTGCACAGATCCTTCTAATACAACTAGTGCAGACCTAGATATTTCAGTTTATGTTTGTTTGTTGTTTTTTTTAGCTCACCTGAGCTTGCTCAGGGTGAGCTATTAGGATCGGTGAATGTCCGTCGTCCGTCCACAATTGCTTGTGAACACTCTAGTGGTCACAATTTTGAACCAATCATCATCAAACTTTTTCAGGATGCTTGTTTAGTCAATTGCTTGGATGAGTTCGAACATGGGTCATCTCTGATGAAAATCTAGGTCACAGGAGCTATAAATAGAAAAACCTTATGAACACTCTAGCGGTCACACTTTTTGAACCAATTATCATCAAACTTGGTCAGAATGCTTGTCTAGTCAATTGCTTGGATGAGTTCGAACATGGGTCATCTCTGATGAAAAACTAGGTCACAGGAGCTAAAAATAGAAAAACCTTGTGAACACTCTAGTGGTCACATTTTTGACCCAATCATCATCAAACTTGGTCAGGATGCTTATCTAGTTGATAGCTCGGATGAGTTCGAACATGGGTCATCTCGGATGAAAAAGTAGGTCACCGGAGCTAAAAATAGAAAAACCTTGTTAACACTCTAGCGGTCACATTTTTGACCCAATCATCATCAAACTTGGTCAGGATGCTTATCTAGTTGATAGCTCGGATGAGTTCGAACATGGGTCATCTCGGATGAAAAAGTAGGTCACCGGAGCTAAAAATAGAAAAACCTTGTTAACACTCTAGCGGTCACATTTTTGCATCAATCATCATCAAACTTGGTCAAGATGCTTGTCTAGGTGAAAGCTCGGATGAGTTTGAACATGGGTCATCTCGGATGAAAAACTAGGTCACAGGAGCTAAAAATAGAAAAACCATGTTAACACTCTAGAGGTCACAATTTTGCCTCAATCATCATCAAACTTGGTCAGGATGCTTGTCTAGGTGATAGCTCGCATGAGTTCGAACATGGGTCATCTCGGATGAAAAAGTAAGTCACCGGAGCTTAAAATAGAAAAACCTTGTTAACACTCTAGCGGTCACATTTTTGCATCAATCATCATCAAACTTGATCAAGATGCTTGTCTTGGTGATAGCTCGGATGAGTTCGAACATGAATCATCTCGGATGAAAAACTAGGTCACAGGAGCTTAAAATAGAAAAATATTGTTAAAACACTCTAGTGGTCACAATTTTGACTCAATTGTCATCAAACTTGGTCAGGAAACTTGTCTAGGTCATTGCTGGGAATAAATTGAACATGGGTCATCTCGGATGAAAAAGTAGGTCACCGGAGCTAAAAATAGAAAAATCTTGTTAACACTCTAGTGGCTACTGTTGTGATCCATATATTCTGTTAATTGGTCTGAAAGTTTGTTTTGATGATTTCTAAGTCAAGTTCGAACATGGGTCATCTTGGATGAAAAACTAGGTCACACCGCCCAAATATGGAAAAACCTTGTTAACATTCT